CGACAAGCCGTGCATTTTTATTTTCTTTTCATGCTCTACGAGCAACTCGAGAATGGCTTGCATTGCGGACCCGTTGGTATAAAGTGAACTAACAACGAATGACTCCATTATATGCGTGCTGTTTGGTTGCGCGCGCCTTAGGTGATCTAGAAATATTTTGGTGTTAGGTAGATGGGTTGGAATGAATTTTAGCAGCTGGGATAGGATAAGGTTTAGGAACCACGTTATTCTATCAGTTGGCCCGCCTATACAACTGATAATAAGTCTAACTTTATATGATGATGGGTTCGTTGACGTAATATCATCAGTTGAAGTAAGCTTATGTGTTTTAATAAGCAAGTAAAGGACAGGTAAATCGGGTGTTCGGTTTTAAGTCGAGAAATAACTGAAGGCTCTAAACCCGCGGCCTTTGTCGTGCTGACCCATTCTTGATTTAATTTTCGGCATTGGTTTCTATATTCCTTTTCAGAGGATGTTCGATAGAAAGAAACATCATTGAGGTGCTTCTCTGTTATCCTAATATCCAACTGACTAGGAAGAACTACAAATTCTCCGCCTTTATCACTAATAGAAAGTCTAATAGATTTTGAACTCAAAAGCTCTCTAATCTGGCGCATACCACATTTTTGTTGGTGTGTGAGGTTGAAGCTTCTTTTTCGTTCTCGGTAGTGATTAAATATGCGGAGAATTTCGTCCGAAAATAAACGAAATGTAGGGTTAATATCGCTATTTGGTAGCTCTTGCTTAAAGACAGTTCGGGGAAAGGGCATTGGTGGTAGTTCTCTCCTTGGTACTACTTTATCTAACCTTTCTAGCCTAACTCTGTAACGTAGCTGATCTTGAAGTTCATGTAGATCCTACAAGTGATCCTGCGCAGGATTGGTTTAGAAATGGGTTGACTAGGTGCAAAACTCGGACCCAATTCTAACAAGGAACGCACATTTTGCGGAAGCGTTATACCTCCTAGCACAGTAACTCTGGATGTCCTTGGTGCGCAGTCTATTTCAGGGTTTTTACTTGGAACTTGACCAGCGGAGTCTTTTGATTTGACCTTTTTGAGCGGCGTGATAGACCCTTAAACTTTTTTCTTAACTTGCTCTTTATATCACACCGAATCTTTCCGCATACCGATTTAGACCCAGCTACTATTCTCTTCCAAAGATTTCTCTACAAATGCTGAGTACAATGGTTTTCTTTGAACACACATTTGTTTAATAGTGAAAACATTTCGTTTTGTGTGCACCGCAATGAAATGCGTAGCAGTTTCATTTCGATGCTCAGCATTTGTTGAGAGCTCTCCGCTAGGCAGCATACTTCGTCTAATTTCCTACGTTTTATAAAGTTAGGAATAATTTGATGTTTTAAGCAGCGGCGTAGAAAGTGGGTCTTCTGTTGCATTTAGACGATTTTCTGTCTTAATGACAATACGTCTCTTACAAGTCGGAAATGTTTTGCCGGAACATCTCTTAATAACTCGAAGGACCGACTTTCTATAAACCTCGGCATAAATAGTTGATATATTTATTTATGTGATCTTATAAACTGATCTTCTTAAGCTGACGCGAGGTTGGTACAGATCTTCGTTGTCGTTGTCGTTTTTGATGTCGTTGGTCGATGGCTGACGTTTCGGCGACTACGACTACAACTACTTGATTCCGCACGTAACATCACGTCTCTGAGGAAGATGAAGTCGCCGAAACGTCAGCTATCGACCAACAACATCAAAAACAACGACAACGACAACGAAGATCTGTACCAACCTCGCGTCAGCTTAAGGAGATCAGTTTATAAGATCACATAAATAAATATATCGTAAAATCATTGTGAGCAAATCTTGCACTGCTAGATCATTCCCAACGCATTAAACAATATCAGTTTCCATCGAAGAAATTAATTTCTAGTAATTCTTATTCAACAGGTAAAATGTGCCGCCAACGAATTGCTAGTAGGTGGCTGGGCGAGGAAGTTGAACAAATTTATCGTTGAAGAGGGTTTACAACCTGTACAAAGGCGGTACATCTGGCAAGAAGAGCAGGTTTGAGTCTTTCGTTTCCTTCATCTACGGAGTAATTGCCTCAAGTTTCTTCCTTTTTGTTTCTCATTCTGGTTGTATGTACTGGATATTATGTAGAGTATGCCCATCATAGATCTATAGAAATATATGACCAACTTGCTCAGCAGCTGCCAGTCCTAGCTGTTTTCGCAATTTGTCATGATATTCTTCGTATTTGATTATGCCCAGTTTAGCTTTCGCCTCTTTCGGATTCACAACAGTATGCATTTGACTCCGTGTACAATTTCGGAAAAGTTGGAAGAAGGGAGATAGTTTTCAAATCCAAAAAAGCGATTCGGGTTCTATCGGTTGTAGCCACCGATTTGAAACCAGAAGAGAGAAATGTGATCCTCAATGATCTCGTTAGCTACAAGGATTTCGGTTGTATGTGAGTTTCAAGCTGAAAGTCATTGTGTAGCAGGCTAACATTTTATCAAGATAAAAATAAAGGCTGAGAACTAATGAAATCACCTTGGTAGAGAGATTTTCATCCGTTCAGGTTCCGCAAATTAGTATTACACTTGCTTGGGACAACCTCACTTCTTTCAATCGTTATGATAACGCTCTACCAAGGTTATGCCAAGATTTGAGTGAAAATCGACTCAACCTACCTTCAGCGACATTTTTAACGAAAACAACAACCTTCAAGGAGCACGCACCCTAACGCAAAAAATCGAAGACCTTTATGAGTGGTGGGTGCGAGTAAACGAAATGAATGCCAGAACTGCCGGGATCTGTAGAGTAGATGTGAAGGCGGCCTTTGAAAGAAGAAAAAATTCTTTGTTTAAATCTAGGATGTTGACATAAAAAACCAACTTATAAGAATTCTATCGAATTTACTTCAAGCGTTTCAGAAATACTCAACGGATGTGGGGCAGCATTGTGGCCGACACCAGAATTACATTACTCCTAGAGGATTTTGCAGTCGAATCGTTGTCTAACTATGTGATGAAGGAAACGGGGAATAACTACGAGGTTAATTCATTCAGTCGGCGATGAATTCCCATTGAAAGCAACACGGCCAGCTGAGAGTGGATGTCTATGCTATGGTTTTCCTCATTTTCTGTTTTTATTAATATCATTTAACACATTCCCAATGAGACTTGCTTATGACAACTGCCGGCATTTTCTCAATAACTAGAGCACTCGAGGATTTTAGCATTTAACAGTCTTGTAGAGGAGGCTTTGCCATATTGCTACGAGGGCGTAAATGATTTCTCTAAAATGTTATTTTAATACCCTCACGAGAATGACCTCTATAGGCATAGATAGGAGGGCTTCGTAATTGGTGCGACCTCCATAGAGATCTTTTTCTCTCTTATAGTTTATTCCCCCCCCCCCCCCCCCCTACAGCTTCCTCGTGGCTGGGAGGTGTTCCTGAGAGTCGAGCTACGATGTACAACGGGGGATCATCTCCTAGTAGGGTCTCCCAAGCTCAGAAGGAGTCTGGCGTTTCCATCAGGAAGCCTAGCTAAGAGTAAACCAATACCAGGATCCACCACCGTCTTGGTATCAAAGTCACATGGTGGCAAATCTCCCTCTAATCCACAAGGGCTGCGACTGCCTGTCGTGGTGACAACCTGGGGCAGGCTTTAGCCAGGCTGACCTCGGGATTCCAGGAACCACAATGGCTTAACCGGCAAATCTCCGAAAAGTGGAGATTATGCTGGGGCCCGCACAACTAGTGAGGACGGGCCATACATGTATAAACTATCAAGTGTAGTTTATTTTTGCGTACAGAACCTTTTCATGTAGTTCTTACAATCATTCGACAGCTTGTTCAGCACAGATATGGTGTCGGACGTGGGCCGGGAGAAATATGCAAAAATAAAAACCTTTTTTCGAACGAGTTTGTTGACTGGTAACTTGATAGCAAGTTAACTCTTTTTTTCCGATTGTAGTGACTAAAATGAATCATAGTGATCGTGTGGAATCAGCGGTTGTAAAAAGTACAGGTTCAAAAAAAGACTCAGCATAAGTTATTAAACATTTTCAAGCGCTAACAGTAACGTGTTTTTATGACGGACAATAGCAAGATAGAGTAAGCGCACACATGCCACTCATACCCATAACCATAAAACGATGCAGCAAAACTTCACCAAGAAATCCACCATGTTCTCTATCTCTCAGATCTTGTTATCGCTATATAATCGTTTGCTGTCGAAAAGCAGCAGGTCCGTAACAGCCGACAGTTAGGCGTCGTCCCATTCCGTCGGTTGTATGAAACTGTGCTACATCTAAATTGGTTGAAAATTCGGATTTATGAGAAATCGGACTTGAATGATCTGTAGATTCCAATGGTTTTCACTGAATTTAATAAAGTGCGCCATTACCTGAAGTACCTCTCTGACGTTCAATAATTCTCGGGTAGGCGTTCATTGAAAGCAATGCATGGCATTGCGAGTGTATTCGTATTAGAAGTGATTTCTCCAACAAAAGCTCCAAATAACATCGTCTCACATTCATTTGAATGGATTACCTTAGTGAGTGCTTTTTCAAGTTTGAGTGTACAAATTGTCGTACTGCAACCAGACAAGCTTTCTATGCGTTTTCTTTCCTAGTTAGTAATTTCCAGTAGTTGGAGAACGAGGTCTTTCAATGATATTTTTGCTGGGAATAATTGTTCATATTCACATGTGAAAGAAATAAGAAAAGAGGAAGAATTAAACTTCGAAATCGTTTCAAAGCAATGCCTCACTTCGGTGAAGGACACTAGATCAGTACATGAAAACCTTATCAAATTTATGAAATTTAAAGGTATTCGCAGGAAACCAACTGATGTCTTTCAGTTACTGCAATTCGCTCGGCATATGGCCACTGCCATCGACTTTTTCGAGCGATCCAAGTTCATTCACAAGAAGCTTTCGATTGACGTCTGTTTTTTGTCGGCGACAAAGACCTTAAAGGCATTTGATTTTATTCAGTCTATCGAGAAAAGGAGATAGAAATGAGTCTGCAACAGTACGAGCCAGCTGAGTGTTTGTTTCAGGTGGTGGTGATTGGTCTTTCAACCGGAGTGGTTCCTAAGCGCGTCTATCTAGACGACGTTGAGCGATGCCGGTCAGTCTGTTGCTTATCACATTTGGTTTTGGCCTTATGCGTTCCACAGCTCAGTGAGAGCGTTATTTAGTGAAGAAGCCAGACTATTGGTGTTCACAATGTGTGCACTTTTCCTCGAAAATACCCTTCAGAAATAACAGGAGTAGAGAACGAAAAAACATCAGTGGGGATTGAACACTGTGCCGGGATTCTATAGAGGAGTCTGTTGCTATGGCTGACGAGTTTCGAAACTGCGAGTAGGATGACCGAATGTGGGAGACACTGTCTACTAGTTGGTATGAAGTCCACAGCCTTATTCCACATAAAGATGTAAAGGATGGTACGATCGTACTCTAACTGCGTTGTAACCTCGATTATTTTCGGTCCCGTTTTTATACGCCCCATTTGTTGTTGGCGATAGATTTCCATTCTTCAGAATAGACCACTTGTCGAGCTTTTGTATACGACGCGTCTTTCATATCCACTGTGTGAATTTCAGTATCTCTTGTATTCCATTTGTTTCCTGAGATATATCGTCTACGAAGGTTTTCATACTTTTCGCTTGTGGCTTCGGCTGCTGCTTGAGGATTGTCATCCTCTCTGTTATGTTATTGAATGCCGGTCGAGTCGCTTTTGCCTGGAGTCCTGGGATAACAAAGCTGAAAGGGTCCTACTTAGATTGCAAGAAGTGAAATTCTCCGAGACTATTTCAGCACCATTTTCTCGACCTGGAGGAGTGAAAGTTTTGATGAGCTAGGTGTGGGTTAGAACCAGCACAGTGCTTGTGAACAGCATCACTACCACTGCGCTACCCATCCCCAGTGATAATAATGTTGATAGTAGCAATAAGAAAGATTTCAGCAATGAATGCGAGAAAAGTGATTTCAGCTGGATTCCTTGGGAATGCCTGGCCGGAGATGATGGCGTCGAGCCAAGGCCTTATGATGAAAAAGCCGTGATTTGGACGCTGGCAACCATGATCTGGAGCATGTTTCATAGAGGTAATTTCCAACGATATCCAAAAAATCAAATGTAAACGAAGCCAGGTCTTCCAATCTAAAAAAAAAGATGTGCCACGAAGGAAGCAGTCAAGCTGCAGAATCTTTAGCAGTTCATTTTTATACGTAGCAACCGATAGAGTTCGATTGCTTCTTTATTATAGCGGCGACTCCGTTAGAAAACGAAACCGGTCGAGAGATACGGAGTAGACAATACCGGAAGCAGTTCTCTTTCGATATTATTGAGCAACTTTTGCCGACCGGATTGTTAGAGGTCGTCTTTTTGTTAAGTTCCATATCAAATCCATTTCTAGACGACTGTTTAAGCGTCCCTAGAAATTTTCTGTAATAAAGTTGCAGTATCACATAATAACTAACGCCTGTTTACGGTAAAGAGCTGCTTTTCGGTGTCTCAAACAACAGTGATTTACGTTAAGTGCTTCATTCCAGAGTAGAATCATTTATGTTAAGAAAGGTATTTCCATCTAAGAATGTGGCCAAGAGTGCCGCTTTCTTGGAGCAAGCTCTATGCTCAGGAGGTCGCCTCCCATTTGGAAACAAAGTGCTGTTACGTGACCACAAAAATATCAATGACGTGAGAATTCTGGTTGTCTACACCATTTATGAGGGTGAGGTAGCATGAAGATCAGACAAGAAAGCGTCGTAGAATTGCAATCTATACTTCTTGCAAATATCGATAATGCAAGAAAGGATAAAGTTTTCGGCGTTGATTAATTACTATAGGATGCGCTATGCATTCGACTTCATCGTTCGAGATGACTGGGGTCGGGATCGTTCTAGATGACTGAATGCATTTTTGCTCTATGCAGTGACTTACGATAGCGTACTGGTGTATCCGATAAGTGCTTCTCGTACAAATCTGGTGCAATTTTCCGAGCCCGGAGGTATGGACGGCTTAGGGAGCTCGGAACACGAAATGGAACTGATAACCACGTGGGTATTGTATGGCGCCTTTAACCGCAGCGCCACACTCGCTATAAATATCGACACTGATTCAGATATGTTTACTTAGCAATTTCTAAGACCGACTTTCTGTTAACCTCGGCACTGATTGATAATTCGGTGTTTTTCTTCAACAAGCAGACACGAGGTCGTTATTATTTATAATATTAATATTATTAATAATAACAATCTCGTGTCTGCTTATTAAGGATTAAACATCGAATTGTGTTTACTTACTTTAGAAATTGTGCTACAAATATAATTGTAAGCGAAATCGCGTTTGATATCGTCTGCTTGCATTCATCCCTGTGAACATTTTCATTACCACCACACAGCAGACTGGAGATGTTTTTATGAGCTCCTAAACTTATAACGAAACCCATGTCTACTTAGAAGAATATTTGGTCACTCCGACGTGAGCAGCTGGCAGGAAAAGATCTGAGCACAACGAAAAACCCAGTTATTCACATTTTTTTTGTTTTGCAACCAAACCACTTGAAGGGTTTGTTACTAGCAGAGCTCACAAAACCGTTTCACGCAACTTCTTTTTTACTTTCAGTTGCTGCAATTATGTTGGATGGAAAGGGGAAAAAGACCAAGTATCCGCTTTGTACTGAAAACGATCAAGAATCTGGAGCAACAGCTGTGATGAATAAAACGCCCTCAAGACTAGCTTTAAAGGACAATCTTTAATCAAGCAGTACCTATTGAAAAGTGCTGCTCCTTATAACATATTCGCATAATACTTGGTGATTCTCGAATAGTCAATGAACGAATAATTTTAGATCATTCTGGTGCAGCTCTGTTCCCATTTCTCTTTAAACTCTTCGAAACAAAAATCATCGAAGACTTGATGCATGTTCCCACTAGGTTTTTTTCAAGTGGTTATCGAAGTTACCAGCTCAGCAATAGCTTGTGGAATAGTATAGGTGCTGTCCACTCCTTCAACACCTAGAAGTTTCAAACCCTTCTATGGAAGTGATTTCAAACCCTCTCATCGCACTCGAAAGACCGACTTTCTATGAACCTCGGCATAGATAGTCGATATATTTATTTATGTGAACTTATAAACTGATCTTCTTAAGCTGACGCGAGGTTGCTACAGATCTTCGTTGTCGTTGTCGTTGTTTTTGATGTTATTGAACGATGGCTGACGTTTCGGCGACTTCGCCTTCCTCAGAGCCTGGACGTACTTTATGTTAGAATACTTTTTATTATTCGGTGGAAAGCAACGACAACGACAACGACAACGAAGATCTGCACCAACATCGCGTCAGCTTAAGAAGATCAGTTTATAAGATCACATAAATAAATATATCCTCTCATCACAACTTAAACCAGTATGTATCGATATCAAATTACAGAACGATCAGAGAAAAGCCTTACACACTACAATGTACGAGTAGAGAAATACATTCATCATTTGGACCAAATCCAGCTAAAATAAATCTATTTAAGTAGAATTCTGCTGGACTCATAGCCACTTTTGGAAAAAACTGGTGCTTCGATTTTAACGAATGCATAGGGAAGATAACAAAGTTGATGAAGCGCTCTGGATTCAGTGAACGCAACGAATCATTTCGTAAAAGTTAGAGCACTTTCATCTCTTGTGGATAAAAAATTAAAAAAAGCTCTAAAGCTCTCGGCGCTGACCAATCCTTGAAGGATGTGCCACGCATTCAACTTCAGTATGCATCGTTTGGAGGTGATTGAATGGCCTTTACAATGACTCGCGGTGGCCTACCGATGCTTCGCTCTCAAAGAAGTCTTGTGCCAATTTACTGACCCCGGAGAGATGGAGGGCTTAGTGGGCCATGGGCGCGGGGATCGATGCCACGTGTGCGTTGCAGGGCACCTCCGACAACTACGCCCCACGCGCCCTTATCTCTTGTGGATGGATTTCTCTGCTACTTCTGCGCTGTCAACAGCGAGGAGAAAAACTTAGGAGCTGAAAAGAACGGGACCTATACTGCAATTGAACACAACAATCTAGTAGGACTGAACAAAATTTTATGCGTTGTCTATTCGTTCATTCGTTACAGGCCACTTTATTGAATTTTTCCACATATTTTTAAATTTATTACACAGGTATAGATCTAAATAAGGTCTCATTAGTTTCCATTTCAAAAAATCTCTATTTTTGCGTCTCACGGAAATATCATTCTACCCAATCTTTTGGGAGGAATGCACTAAGGTCTTTGTCACTGAAAACATTGATGAGTGTGAAATAAAAGAAAGGTGGTAATGTCGTCCGTCAAATTGCTCCTCCTACTTTTCAATTTGTTTGGTGGGCTTTCGTTGCTTAGGGCGAACGGTTATAGTGACTTTAACCTTAAATAGAAATCATTGAACAACAGTGTTGTATTATATCGGTTCGTAAATTCATATATATATATATATATATCTTATATTGTGTATTAAATCTATATTAGAATTAAAAGGAGCAAAACTGGTCAGTGGAATTCGCTTCCCACCTAGTTTCAAAAATTTCTGAAATTTCAAGGCGGGCTACAACGACGAATTTAAGAAGTCCCTTTAAGGACTAAGTCATGAGCATAGCACCGCCTTCAGGAACATGTTCCATTGTTATCCGCTCAGAGCTTACTTCGTTTACTACGTCTTGATTTTCCTGCATCAACTCCTTGCTTAAATTCTTCCTCATCGGCTCACCACTAGGTCTGATTCATTTTAATCAACTCCTTACTTAGTTCGACTTTTTCTCATCAACTTCTCACTTTTGGAAATGACAAAAAAATATCGAAGCAAATAAGAAACAAGGACCCAGCACCTCTGTCTGATCATCGTCCCTCTCGTTCGTAATTAAATGCGCGACACGATTCACCAGTTGGGCTAATGAATCGTTCTTTTCTTTCTCTGCATTTTCTGCAATATAACAGCCTTAATTAGTAACAAAGAGCAAACAACCATTGTGTAAGAGAATCCATGCTACAGAAGAAATTTCAGAGTTTGATATTTAGTCGCATTTAAGGTTTTTACGCATTCCCCTTTTTACTGGAACAAAAAGAGACCAATGTCTCGCAAAATAAAATACTAAATCATTCGCATAAAAATAAAGATAAGTTTAGGATTTTTCTAATCTGATAAAACCCATCTTCACGTCTACTGTGCGGATCCCAGCACTCCTCACATTCGATTCCTTTTCTGGCATCCATCAAACGCAATGGTCTTCCAACGTTAGCGTGTGGTTTCGGTTGCTACTTGATGAGTTCAGTTTATCTTGAATGTCGTAGAATGCTCATGGAGTCGAAACTTCCTGAAGTCCTGGACAGCCGGGCTCGAGCGTTTCCAAACGGATTGCAGAGAGCGATTTTTCTCGCGGACACGTCTGTTACCAATTTCCCGATCCCGAAGGGATGACAGGCTTGATGATCCTAGGGAGAAATCAGACCAGCACGCTCGTGATGATCGGCGCCACTACTACAGTGCTATCCGCCCTTCTAACTCCTAAAGCTCTCTCATTTAGTGTGCATTTAGTATTGTGCGCAGGAGTAGATGGGCTGACATGATTTTTATTTTGTCTCAATACGCAGTGCGTGCGTTAAATAATTTTGGCATCGACCATACGAAATTTGGCGTCGAACTCTATGTGCTAAAAGACCGAGAGGTACCTAAAAGGATGCAACCAATAGAGGGTTCAGCGGTACCCATGATTTTAAATCAATTCTAATGTGCCATAGCCTGTACAATCCAGGGCAAAAGCTTAATGACATCGTATTGCCAGAAGCAAACCAGAAGTTATCATTCAGAACAATAAATTGACATATGAAGCGCACTTCATTATGGAGAAACAAAAAATATTCTGTATATTGCTTCAAAGAGTTGCTAGGGAAAAAAAGCGACATAAATTCCAAGGACAGCACTTTCCTTTTTTAATAGATTTTGTCGTAATTCGACAAATTAGCCTTGATCCGAGCTACAAGCTCTACCCTATAATTTTTTTAGTCCAGATGCTTCTCGATAGACTTCCTTTTGCAAGCTGGACTTTGGAAATAAGCAAGCTTAAAATGGTTGACTCCAACGAGCAATAATTAAGGTAGTTGTTAGAAAGTGTGCTCATAAAAAATGAAGGACAATGGTCTCAGCGTTGATCAATCCTTGAGGAATGCAGCTTGCATTCGACTTCAGTAAGCATCGCTGGAGGGGATTGATTGTATACCTAGCTTTTACAGTGGCCCATGGTGGCCTACCGATGCATCGAGCCAGTGCTGCTATCCTCCCAGACAAGTCTGGTACTAGTTTACCGACCACGGAGGGACGGAAGGCTTGGTGGGCCATGGGCGCGGGGATCGATCCCAGGTGTGTTGCAGGGGGCTTCCTACCACTGCGCTACACGTGCTCGTAAATGTGCTCATAAAAATCGAAAAATCATTAGACGTGCAGTTGGACGTCTTCTTCTTTTGGTATAAAGATCCACTCAACTATGTTGTCGTCTAGCTAATTCGCTATTTATCTACGAGAACATGGAAAGAAGGAAGTAATTACTGGAGAGGTACTTCGACATATAACGAAGAAGTGAATGGGTAGGTTTAAAAAGTCGGCTGTAGGTGAAAAGAGCAATGTGCACGACTTTCCTTCCTTCAAAGGTATTTGGATGGGCTAACTCTTTCTAAGATCCAAGTAACCACGGCTGTCGCAGCCTGGTGCGAGTAGCATAGAGCAGCAGAAGGAAATTCTCATTACAGAATAGAAGTGAAGCATTAAAACAATCTAGTTTCTATCAGGTTTTTTGAGGCGTAAATTTTTCAACAAATCTTCCTATTTCATTCTACTGCCACAGTGTAACTGGGGGTATTCTTAAGTATCGGACTACGATGTACAAAGGAGGCTTATTCCGCTCAACAGCATCTGTCAAGCTGAGAAGAAGTTCGACGTTGTCACAAGGAAGCCGCCGGCTAAGACTAAACGAACACTAGTAATGACCACCTTTTGCTATCAACTGGAGGAAAAGTGGCACATCTCTCTCCATCTGATTCACGAGGGCCAGCGATTGCCTGATGACTCATTAAAAGAAGTTATAGCCATACTGACCTCGGAAGTCTAGGGTACCACAAATAGTCAACCAGGATTAAATCATCATCGGTGTGTCACCCACCAAGGGATCTTGTCTCCTTCATTGGGAGGTCCGACAATGGTGAGAAGCCATCAAATCTCGAGTTGCAGAGCATGTCACTGAAACGTTACCATATGGACATGCCCACAACACACTATAGAGACGTCCTTTTTGCTACAAGGGAAGATAAGTAGGAAGGCTGACATATATTAATCAGGTGCAGGGACTCTTGTCATTCGCTGAGTGAAAATTCCTCTATGAAATTTTGCTAGCGTTGGCTTTGTCGCACACGCATCAATTTCCTATCAAGTAATCGCATATGGGATTCTACCAAAGCGCTTGACCAGTCTCCAACATCCATGTCAAAAATAAGTAAGTCTGTATCATTGACTACTATTTGTGAACATGCAAAAAGTAATGAGAGAGAATTGGACGCGTTTCGTAACCTACTGAAAAGGAGACTGTTTCGAGGCTTTAGAGGTTTGTCCGGAGCACCATCGAGTTTATTTCCTATGCATTCCCGGCCACAAAAAGGCTCCTGCCAGCATCAAACAAGTGAAATTCTACAAGCGTTCGTCGACCAAGGAGTGAGCTCCTACTACATAACTACTCACTACTCAGC